TTTCCATGACATTTTTGTACACATAACGGTATGAATTAAGGTATTAATAGCAATGAATTAATATTTAATAGAATGGTATTTACACTGCCCATATTAATAATTAAAAAAAATGTGATTAAAATTCTATTAGTATACCTACCTCCACATTAATTCAATGTTTTGCATATGATATTGTTCAATTTATTTATTTTTTAAAGTAAAATGTAATTAAAATTAGTTAAAACACTAAAACTGAATAAACAACGAAAAAATTATAACTTGTTTGATTTTAAAAATTTAAAAACCGCGGTTTTTTCCCAGTCATAGAATTCCTTTTCTTATGCATATACTCTATGATCATTTCTATGATTGTCAAAAAAGTTAACCTTACAATATTTAGACAAAGTTGTAGGTAGTTAAATTTTATAAAAACAAAGCAACGAATAAAATTAATCACATTTTAAAGAGATATTTAATTAAATGTATTAGTGGTTTTAAATGAATAACGGAAACGTGTTTGACGATGCCCTTTTTAACATTTTGAAGGAATGCAAAACCCTCCCAACATTTTTAGACACAATTTTTGGTTTTCTCCGCCGTAGGTAAATTATAAAATCAAAAGTACCTTAGTATTACGTTTTAAAACAATGCTTTCATTATAGGACAGACTTTTATGTTGTTGCTGTAGACCCCATATCTCCAATAGGACTACCTCCTGGCTGGGCTGAAAATTTGGTCAAACAGGCTTTTTTAAAATATAAACCACATAACAAACGTGATACAGAAACTCTACCTGAAAGTCAAGTACCTTTACCAACAGTTGAAACAGAAGTTGTAACCTCCAGTATTGAAGATCAAAATAAGAGCGACTTAAATGGAATAGACATCAGTGTAAATAAATGCATTAATGAAGAATTAAAGGAAAAATCGAATTTCCATTCCTCAGAAAGTTACAATGGTGCTGTGTATAATAACTACTCATGGTCCCAAACAATAACAGATGTAGATGTAGTTATAAAACTACCTGAAAATTTGACAACTAAAAATTTAAATGTTGACATTGGGCCCCAAAAAATTGATATTACTTTAAAAGGAACAGGTGAAAGTTTGTTTTCTGGAATTCTGTGTCAGAAAATTAAGTATAATGATGTGCTATGGGCTTTGGATAAAAGAAAATTAAATATTCACTTAGATAAGGTACAGGAAATGTGGTGGAACTGCTTGTTACAAAATGAACCAAAGTTGGATATTTCTAAAATTGATTGCTCAAGACCATTTGAAGAACTTCCAGAAGATGCACAGGCTAAAATCGAAGAGCTGGCTTGGAATCAGGAAAGGAAAATACAAGGTCTTCCTACAAGTCAAGAACTGGCAATGCAAGAGACTTTAAAAAAAGCATGGAATGCTGAGGGTTCCCCTTTTTCAGGTCCTTTTGATCTTAGCAAAGTTGAAATTAACTGATTTCAAATTGATTTTATCGTTTTTAAAAATTTTAAAAGCAATCATGAACATTTTAATTGTAATTTACAAATGCCAACTTTATTTTTTTTTACATTTTTCTTTTTACAAAAATAATACAGCAAGTACAAAGAACCAATCGTACATTTATTTCTGCAAAATTTTAGGAACTCCTTACAAAATATATTAATTAATAAACAATCACATACGTTTATTGGAAAAAACACCGTTCACTAATAAATAATAACAGTAAAACAGACAAACAAACGGTATAATATATATTTTATAATCTACATTCGTTTTTAAAGCAATCCTTTCAATATTATATTATATATCACAAAATTATTTTAAATACCTATTAAGAAAATCAAAACAAAAACTTACGTAAAAAAAAATGGGAAAACTGCGAATTTCATTGCTATAAACACTTCGAATTCTTAATACTACGCCTTATAAGAAACAACAATTTCGAATCCCTTTAATATGATTAATTAAACAAATCATCAGAATAATCAATTTTCGTAAAGTTCGGCCTTTAGTATGGTTTTTTTATACTACATATTTTGCAACAATTTTATGTATTAATTGCTGTTACAATGTGACTAATGCATTTACATAATCACAACCCTTAAAAGGCTTATTTATAAATATTGTTTTTCAATATTTAAACAATTGAANAATATCATCTTTCTTTATATTGCTCATGTTTACATTTGACATGGAATCATTGTCATACCAGGCAACTTCTATGTCAGTGGGTTCAACACTTTGTATGGTGAACCTTTGCCTCTTTTGCATGCTGGCTTTCATTACTTTTGTGCGATTCAACCAAACAGGCTGTATTAAATTATTTGGTGTGCAGGTCTAAAAATGAGAATTTGAAATAGAATAACTATTAATTTCTTTAAATATAATAAAGGTATACTACTCTAAAAACAGGAATTTTAATATTATTTGATACAAAGTTTCCTTAACAGTCCCATATCAACAATTTGCTATAAATATAAGCTAATTTCTTACTATTTTTGTTTGTTCGCATTAGTTTCCTGTTGTATGTCCTTTAGCACATCTTCAAAACTTGATAATGCTGTGTTGAGAGACAATTTAAGCCCCCGGCTGACCGGAAGTAACGAAAATTCAGGTTTAGAAGTACAATTGTCATCGCACCAGTTCTGTAGTCTTCTTACCAGTTTATCACCATTTTTAGAAAAATGTGTAATCACTTCCTGTTTGAACACTTCCGGAGGATGCAGAAGCATTTCTGTCATGGACTGTACCAGTTTAAGAATCACAAGTTCATTATAATTGCGTGAGTTTTCCTGTCCTTGCTGAGATTCAACCATTTTTTCATACCCTGCTTCGTTGTAAAAAGGCTCAGATACGAGAATTAAACCCTGTATAGAAACAATTAATTGCAAAAGAGTGCTGTTGGGACCCCACACTTCAGTCCCACGACCCATCCACGTTCCCAATAAAGAGACACACACTTTTCCTTCAACATATAAGTTTGGGTTGAGTCTTTCTGAACTGTAACTGACGTAATGAACAACAGGAGGCGATCTGGGATAATCAGGACTCAATTGAACATCAAACATGAACAGACCATCTTCATAGGGAGTCCTGGCAGGTCCAACAATCAGTACAGACAATAAATCCAATCTATTTTGATAAGATCGTACCCAAACGCCTGGGGGTAAAGACTCTTTAAGTAATTTATATTCTTTTTGAACTGCTCTATAAAACTTTGCTTTGTCCCATGGTTCAAATTTGGTAGAAGCAAAATGATGGGATGTGGGTACTTCTTCGATTATGACATAGGGTTCATTCTCGTACTTGGTTATCACAGACTTGTCAAGTTTTGGTGAGCTAAATATGCAGAAGGACTCGTCAGGGGTGACGGGCATACTAGGCATGGGGGTAACTGTAGATGGAGTGGCAGCCTTTTCAGACGCATTTGTCATAACAGAAAAGGCCTGTGGACTACCTATTCTTGATATTATTTCAGCATAGGCCAAATCCATACGTACTTTTATCATAGATAACAATTCGATGCAAATATTACCTTGTAGGGGGGTTGAAAGTTCAGTTTCAGGAGTCTGAGGTGCTGTTGATTCTGCAATCAAACCATAGGCAAAATAAATTATAGGGGGATATTGAAAGAAATTAATTTTTATAGCATATATTACCTTCACTTTCTTTGGTGTTTCCTATTTGAGTTTGAATTTTATGTTCAAGCTTAACAAGTTTATTTATGTTTTCTTTTTCTGGATTTTTGGATTTGAATGTATGGCACATAGATTCAGTATTTGAAAACAATCTTCCTCGCAATTCTACTCCAAAAGACTTAGCTTTTTCCTTTACTTGGCTCAGTAAAATCTGGAAAAGAAACAAGTAATGAGAAAAAAATAATATTTAATCTCATTAAGTAGGATGAACTGTTTATAATATTTACCTGGAAATGTTTACTTTTTAAGCTGAAAAACGAAGTTTCCAATAACTTATCTAAGTAACTACAATTGTCGTATACTGTTAACAGTTCTTTTAAGTGCTACAAAGTTGAAATTATTTTATCGATTACATTTTTATTTCATTCAAGACTTACAGAAAAATTCTCTTCGATTGTGTGCATGCCAAAAACCTCTTTCAAATAAATAACTCGTCCTCTAACAAAGTCCAAACGTGCTGCCATATTTTGTAAAGTGGTTTCGTCAGTCATGTCTCCAGCTACAGATTCTATACTTTCTGTTTCCCATGAAATCACTTGTACGCTATCGTTATCCTCTAAGGAAATTTCATATTCGATTGTTTCGGGAATGAGCTCAATACTGTATGGAGAACAACTTTCTATTGTTCCATCAATCCACTGAACTCCTACACTGCCCTACAAATGCCACATATTTTTTTTTTTTGAATTAATTGTAAACAAGTAAGGTAAGTATTTTAATTCCTAATTAGTATATTAAGAAATAATTACTTCTGGATAGCTGTCTATTACATATCCAAGCTTTTCAGGCTCCACAGGCACTTTCTTAACTATGCTTCCTGGACGGAAAATGAATTTTGAATGTTTTTTTAAATCATACACACTCTTTTCACTGGTTACAGCATGGGTGTCTTCTTGACCAATACGTGTAAACCATTTTACCTAAAATTTATCAATTAATTTTAACAATAAAACATACTAAAACATTACTTTTGCAGTTCTTTCGGTGTGATCAACGGATTGCACAACACCATACAAAGTCTCTGATTTTCCTTCTTCTACCACCCATTCACCTGGGTAGAATTCATGATCATCCAGTGAGATTGAATAATTTAATTGGGTAGTGGGAATATCCCTTTCTTCAGTCCCATCTTGCCAAACAACTGTTGCCTTCGAGTCCATACAAAGTACCTTACAGAAAATGGTGTATTTCTTTAAATAATTTATAAGTGTAATATGCATGCACTTAACAGAAAAAAAATGTTACTTGGTTTAATTTTGTAAAGAGAGAGGCATTCAGACCACTCTACTATGAATAAAAGAATTTTTTATTTTCAAAGTTTAATTGTGTAATATGTTATGGAATAAATAAATAAATGTCAGCAATATCAGATGCCATAAATTTGGATATTAAGGAATGCATAAAACAAAATTCCAAACTTAACATTGTAAATGTAATTGAACTGTTAATTTTAGTTATTGGATGATTGCCTGTTGTATTCAATTGAATAAAAAATAAATATTAAATAATAGTGTACCACAATAAACCCTCTGAGAAACCCCTGGTCAATATAAATCCAAAAAAAATGTATAATTTTCTTCACATCAAATTCCCCAATCAAATAAAATGCTCTTTTAAATTGTGAAGTACCGTTTCTATATTTGATTACCATTTATTTCAAAAACTCTATATTAATAATATATGCAATATAGGATTGTATATATGTTAACAAACGCATGTACTACAAAGTAAAACTTACTTCAACTGCAAGTGTACTTCCTGGTACAAGTTCTTTAGATTTTGGAGGAAAATGACGCGTTTTTAAGGGACCCCCAGACATATTACTAGAGACACTAGCGTTTTCGGAAATTTCTTCTTCAACTTCGTCAGTCCACCATCCTTCATCATTTTCTTCTGGAGCACTTTCCCTTGAAATTGAAGAAACAAGGGAAGGGCGACGAATTTTTGATTTACTCCCTCTAAAAATGACAATGGGTTATTTAGCTCAACTGATTTTATAAGATCATGTAATGCTAACTTTTTTTTATGATGCGTATTTGGATTTGCTACTTTGGAATTGACATTTTTAAAATATTCAGGTTGATATAAAGACCATTGCTTTTTAACCCAGTCTTTTTTCTTAAGTAATACATCTGAAGAACTTAATTTTAACATTCTGCGTTCTGCTAAATCAACTAAATGGGCCTTTTCAACAGGTTCCACAACTTTTAAACTAAAAGTATTTGAATTATTAGTTTTACAAAATTACAAAAAAATGTACTGCTAACTTTTTAATATCATCTTTCTTTATATTGCTCATGTTTACATTTGACATGGAATCATTGTCATACCAGGCAACTTCTATGTCAGTGGGTTCAACACTTTGTATGGTGAACCTTTGCCTCTTTTGCATGCTGGCTTTCATTACTTTTGTGCGATTCAACCAAACAGGCTGTATTAAATTATTTGGTGTGCAGGTCTAAAAATGAGAATTTGAAATAGAATAACTATTAATTTCTTTAACAACTCACCACTTCTTGCCCAGCATAAAAATGCTCATAATATCCTCTATGACGTCTTGTTAACCAGTAATCTTCTATCTCATGATTAAGACTAGCAAATATTGTCACAGTTGATCCACATTTTGCATGCATTGTGATTTTTTCATCAACATTCTAAAAAATAGGAATAATACAATAAACTCTAAAATAGAAACATTAAAACAAACCTGAATTCGACCAAATTTATTGCCCAAGCATACAGCATCATTATTTTCATAATGTGCAAGTGTGGGAAGTCTATTGCTTGGAACTTTCTCAATAATTTTATCTGTGCCAACAATTTGTACAGTTGCATATTGCTTGGATTCCCTGCAGTACCCCTTTCGCAAGTTATTGCCATTCGATCTACATACTATGTCTCCTGGAATAATACTTCGACTTAAAAGACGAATTTTGCTCTGCTTTGATACGGTTTCTCTAGAACTGTTGAACCACCACACTCGCACTTGCCCCTTAAGCAAGGGGCTGGAGTCATCCGAATCTGTGGAGCCCTCCCAACTATCAACTACGACACCAAAATTAATCCTTTTCTTTTTATCGAAACGATATACAATATCATTAGAATAGAATTCCTTTGTTGTTGTAGACATTTTTGAAATAAATAATATTTTATATTAATTGGTTTTTATTTAAACTGAAATTTAAGAATTAAATACCAAACACCATTTTTATACTTAAACATACGCGGCCAACGTGCTTTTTTGACATTATTCTTAAGGCAAGTTCACATTTTTTAAAGCTTTTTTTATAATAGTTTTTATATGATACTGATTAAAATAAGATAACTTTGTCAGCTTTCCGTATTGAGATTTACATTTATCTATCTAAATTTTAAGCAAACATCTTTTAAAAATTGTTTTCAAAGTGTGATTAATAAAGAGCGCAATTGTATAAAAATGTTTTATTTATGATTTACAAAAGCATTAGATGGAAAACTAAACATTATTTGAAAAATTTAGTAAACTGGTTAAATGTTTTACTTTGTTACAAAATCATTATCATAATATTATATTTTAATCTTCCTAATTTTCTTCTTTCATTGAATTAAAAGTATTTAAGGATATGAAACGTGTAAACCAATCTTTACTACAAAGTCAACAATTTGTCAGTTTAAAATCATAGGTTAGAATAGGTTAGAATTATTAATTATAATAACTTTTAATTTAAGGAATTATCTGTTTATTCTAGCTTTCTGAGTTTTTTAATTGAAGACTTAAATTATGGCCGGAAGAATTCTCAATAGGAATTGTCTCAAGATTAAACTTAAAGATTTAGTATGTTTATTGCAATTGTTATATAACTTTTAAAAAACTAATTAATTTGTTTTTAGGCCCTTTTAAGTGCATCAGGATGTAAAATAACAATAAGAAAGGTATCTATTTCAACTCAGTTTAACATTAGTCCCAGTGAATGCTTTTTTAAACATTCACATGATTAAACCTTTATGTCTCCTTTGATTTATATTACCAAATGAACTTTTAAATAAATGATCTGTTTTAGCAATCTGCTTTAGCTGCTGTTCCCTTATCAGACTTTGAAATACAACACAAAACACCTTTGGTGAAGAAAACAGTAAGATTTCCTATCTTTATCTTATTATAGTAAGATGTACCACACGCTGTAAGATTTATAAATTCTTTTCATTCATTTAGAGTCCAATACCTGTTGCTCAGTATGGAGGTCGTCACCAGGTCACCATGTTGCCTGGAAGTGGTATTGGACCTGAGTTAATGAATTATGTTCAAGAGGTTTTCAAGTATTCAGGTGCTCCAGTTGATTTTCAAGTAGTTGATATTGATCCAAAGTCTGATCAAGCGAATGAACTTGAAGATGCCATTATTTCTATCAAGAGAAATGGAGTTGGAATTAAAGGTATGAAAATATATTTGTTTGAAGATTAACAAGTAGTACAACCCAAACAAATAAGTGTCAAGTGAGACTTATCAATGGTAGCTTTAATTTCCTAAATATAGTATAATATACTGAGAAGTCAATTTTTTGTTTTTATATTTGTTTTTAAAGGAAATATTGAGACTCGCAGTGAAAGTACAGGAGTGAGGTCTAGAAACGTTGCTATAAGAAATGAATTAGATCTGTTTGTAAATGTTTTGCATTGCCAGTCTTATCCGGGGGTTCCCGCGAAGCAAAAGGATATTGATATCATGGTTATTCGTCAAAATACAGAGGGTGAATATGCCATGCTAGAACATGAGGTATAAAACTATTAATATATTGGCAAAGAAATAAAATAAGGGAAAAGAATACAAATACAATATTTTCAGTACAATCTAAAATAAATTTCATAAAAAAAAATATTTGTACAAATTCTTTAGAGTATTTTTTTATGTTCTATTTACATGTTTGAGTTTTTAGAGTGTTTCTGGAGTGGTAGAAAGTATGAAAGTTGTTACACAAGAAAACTCAGAACGAGTAGCCCGTTGGGCATTTGAATTTGCCAAGAAAAATGACAGAAAGAAGGTGACAACCATTCACAAGGCAAATATTATGTAAGTTTTTAACATTTATTTACCTATATGGGTACAGAATCATTATCGTACTTATTGTATTTCAATATTTTAGGAAATTATCTGACGGCCTTTTTTTGGAAATAAATCGTAAAATCGCTAAAGAATATCCTGAGATTGAACACAATGATATGATCATTGACAACTGTTGTATGCAACTTGTTTCAAAGCCCCATCAATTTGATGTCATGATTATGACAAATTTATATGGTACAATCGTTTCCAATGTAGTTTGTGGTCTTGTGGGGGGAGCTGGTTTATTATCTGGAAGAAATTATGGTGATCACGTAAGCATAATTTTTATCATCAGTATGAAGATTTTACCCTGATTTTAAAATGATAAAGCTTAGAAAAAGTATTTTTGACTTTTTTTAAGTATGCAATTTTTGAACCTGGTACCCGAAATACTGGAACAGCAATTGCTGGAAAAAATATTGCAAATCCTGTCGCAATGTTAAACGCTTCTGTTGATATGTTGGAACACCTGGGACACAAAGCTCATGCAAACCTTATTAAGAGTGCAATCCGTAAGACCATATGTGAAGATAAAGTTCATACTCCAGGTTAGCACTTATATCTGTTTGCGAGGGTTCCATACAAAAGAAAAGTATAGAGAAACCCCTCACCATTGCTTTTATTATGTTAGGTATTGAAAGGAAACGTTTTTGTTTTTTTTTACACAGATCTTGGAGGTACCAACAAAAGCACTGAAGTTGTGCAGAGAATAATCGACCACATTCTGGAGGCCGATGTCAGAGTTTGGTAATAAAAAATCATAAATTATTTAGTGTGAAAAAACCTACCAGACAGCTGCTTGTTTTTGCACTAACATGTGATGTGGCCCCCTTTTCAAAAAACTACCAAAAAAACTGTAACTAGACTTCTTGCTTTGCAATTTGTAATATACTATTACTGATGGTAATGACAATGGTAATGGTAACAGTGTCTGATATTCTTGTCTTTTGTGACATACCTGGGTTTTTTTCCTTACCATTATTGTTTTTATTTTTTCTGCTAATTTTTCCTTAACGGTATTACTTATCGGTTTTTTTTTATTTTTTTTGGATTGNATCGTCCTCCAAAAGTATAACAGGACCTGTCCATTTTAATGCCGGCCGCGCTTTCGTCCAACTAATAAAAATGAAATGTGTATGCGCATATTTTTTTGACACACAAAGAACCGGAGGGTTGTTAAACGAACAATACACAAGCGGGGGGACGTTGTTTAGTCATATTCTCCAGCTATGTGCATGTTTGCTATTCAATTGATATTGAAATCAATTGCGATAAATCAAAAACTATTATTCGTTATTATATTAATGATGAACTGCTAGCTGTCCCAGGAAAAAGCTGAATATTACAATAGTAATTAACTAAACCGAAACGACATGTGACTGTTTTTGACAATAATGAACACTGCCAATTATTTTATAAATATATTGTCACCTATTACGTATCTGTAATCGTTTGATAAAAGGTATTAAAGTTTAAAAGAGTTAAATTACCGCCAAAACGCATCGCCAAATAAAAGCCCATCGTCATTATGACGTCCGACACAATAAATAATGACAAGAATTTGATGCAAATAAACTACTATTAAAAACAAATAGAATAACGTTTCTAATAAAAGAAAACAATACGAATAAGTGTTATAATAAATGATTAAAGGTAGAAACTGGAAAATCTGATCTGTACTTTATTTCAATGTGTGAAATAAATGATATGTTTGTATTTCTGGATTTCACAGATTTGCTACCTATCGTCCTATGTTTGTCAGATTTGTCCACCAATGGACCATCGTCTATGCCTAACATCTTTGTCTGCATGCCATTAATTGATAATTAAATCATACTTTAATAATTTGGCAGGTATATTTGAACCATTCAACAGTATGACATCACATTCATTCATTCGGTGCATTTCTTACAATGCGATAAATTTAAAGAATAAGGATAAGAGATTTTTGTTCATCATCAGTACATTCTTATCACTAAATATGAAAATAGTTTTCTAATAGATCGGTAGATGTACTTGCTCTACCAATTTTCTCAAGAAGAATTTCCTAAAATTCGAATAAACCTTTTTTAATCTTCAATTTTCTGAGATGATAAATATTTTTTTTTTTGGTGTTAAAATATTAAAAACAGTTATTGTTTTTCGACAATTGAAAGGAAGGAAATTCACAATGTTTTTAATGACTTATTTAAAAAAAAAATGTAATTGTTATTTATGTACTCCTCCACTAACTTATTTTCGATCGCATGCCTAATTTTCGTTTCGGTTAAGGAACCTTTAGGGCCTTCGGGACCATTGGAACATCAATAGTGATTTACTTTTCCTACACCATGTTATCTGTCTGCCACGTTTAAGAGCCCTATTTGGAACAAATTTACATTTAACAGTATCAAAGCGTCAGAGGAAGTAGGCAGATTATCCGTATATAACAGAATAGCAGGCAATTCCCTTGAGTCCTGCTCTGTGCGATATCATCATACCTTTCTATTTATTGCGCACCTCATCCTCTGTATTCCCATTCCTGATTTACGAGGATCATCGCATTCCCAGCTATAATTCTGCTGGAAAGCGACTTTTCAGTACCCAGAAATGATCCAGGGCGAAGAAGAATTGCACCAGCGTTTTTTTATTTCTTTCTTGTACAATATTGTTTATACGTCTTTAGAATTTATAAGTACCTACTGCGGTTTTTACAGAAAATCTTAACTAAAATAACTAAAACAAAAAATAGATTAACAACTTATTCATTCATTTAAAAACTATCCAAAAATTATTCAATGTACGCCTTGGTTCTTTTGTGAACACAATTTTTAATATCTGCGAATATCTACGTCTATGTGATATCTTGGGCAATTCAGTATTTCTCCTTTTACAATCCGTATCCAGCAAACAGTAGAGTAGGCAGCTGTTTCGTTCTGCGAGAACATTATGATTGCGAATAAATCTACAAAAATTTCATTAAAAAAAAAGAAACTCTTGGGTGTTTTATTCCTACCAACTACTAATGCTGATGGACGGACTACGCGAGAGGGTAGGGCATTCAGCATCCTTTTAGGGATCGTGAGAATGGTTGGTGGTGAGAAACATGTGTCGAACGAAATGAAGACAGAAGGGAAGTGAAAGATTATCTTTGAAATATTATTATTACTGCCACAACATTTACCTTTGCAAGAAAGTTTGAACCAGGGAAAACGAACCCGAAATAGAACCAGTGTCTAAGCACGGGATAGAACATTGTCCTTGGTGAGGTACATAAGCAGGATTAATTCAGAAATCTTTTCCTTTGTCTGTTACAATTTGTTTATTTCTTATTGCTATTGTAATTTTAATTATTTGCTTCACATCTGAGTATTTAAAATTGATTTTAAAATACATACATATATGTAAGCAGTGCATTTCTTGCACGTCCGGAAAATTGCCGACCCAAGAATTTTTCCAACACAAAATGGAAAGATGCATGCATACCGTTAGAACATGTACTTATACACGTGTTTTACATATACATCCATATGCATTTATGATGGTGTACGTTCGTTCTTCTATTGTGGCATCGTTCGCGTTCGTCGGCCATAATGCGGGCGGCGCGTCGCGTCGTGGCGCGGCGTGAGCTAGACAGTTATAAAAATTATTGCGCTCCATCAGCTCACAATTCAACTGCTAATTATGATCTGCAATCGTCCTCCAAAAGTATAACAGGACCTGTCCATTTTAATGCCGGCCGCGCTTTCGTCCAACTAATAAAAATGAAATGTGTATGCGCATATTTTTTTGACACACAAAGAACCGGAGGGTTGTTAAACGAACAATACACAAGCGGGGGGACGTTGTTTAGTCATATTCTCCAGCTATGTGCATGTTTGCTATTCAATTGATATTGAAATCAATTGCGATAAATCAAAAACTATTATTCGTTATTATATTAATGATGAACTGCTAGCTGTCCCAGGAAAAAGCTGAATATTACAATAGTAATTAACTAAACCGAAACGACATGTGACTGTTTTTGACAATAATGAACACTGCCAATTATTTTATAAATATATTGTCACCTATTACGTATCTGTAATCGTTTGATAAAAGGTATTAAAGTTTAAAAGAGTTAAATTACCGCCAAAACGCATCGCCAAATAAAAGCCCATCGTCATTATGACGTCCGACACAATAAATAATGACAAGAATTTGATGCAAATAAACTACTATTAAAAACAAATAGAATAACGTTTCTAATAAAAGAAAACAATACGAATAAGTGTTATAATAAATGATTAAAGGTAGAAACTGGAAAATCTGATCTGTACTTTATTTCAATGTGTGAAATAAATGATATGTTTGTATTTCTGGATTTCACAGATTTGCTACCTATCGTCCTATGTTTGTCAGATTTGTCCACCAATGGACCATCGTCTATGCCTAACATCTTTGTCTGCATGCCATTAATTGATAATTAAATCATACTTTAATAATTTGGCAGGTATATTTGAACCATTCAACAGTATGACATCACATTCATTCATTCGGTGCATTTCTTACAATGCGATAAATTTAAAGAATAAGGATAAGAGATTTTTGTTCATCATCAGTACATTCTTATCACTAAATATGAAAATAGTTTTCTAATAGATCGGTAGATGTACTTGCTCTACTTTCTGCATTAGGTACTTTTCGTTTTTATCTACCAAAGACAAAAAAGTTTATATACATACCAAAAATTAATGGTTTAAAAGCCCAGAAAATGGAAAATTATTCTGAAAATCTCATGACATATAGCTCTTCTATTTTCTCTCTAGGTAGTGTAATAGTGAGAACAATCAGCTGATTGTGAATCTATTGTTGAAGATTATCTTGCTGCCACGTTTCAGAAAGGGGGAAGACCCTGATCCCTCAGTTAATCATTCAAAAGTATACTGTATACATTAGAAGAAGACGTACTTAACATATCTGTGAATCCGAAAGTTCAGCAAAAAGGGTCTAGTGCACTAATTCTACTACTATCTGCTGCTAGTTCTACTGCTGCTTCCTGCACTTGAATGTCTCTTAATTTTGTAAAGAATCGTTAAATCAAACGGAGTGGAAGTGAATCCTAAATGGTCGTTGGAACTATAATTTACTGTCAGTCTTAAATAATCCGAATTCATTATGTTAACTTTTTTGTAGACCTCTCCTTTATCCGGTATGCGATTTATTCCAATTTTCCGTTTCGTTAAAATTGAGAATCCTGAGGTAAAAGGTTAAAGTCCTAAAACACGATTTCATTTTATTGAATACAAATACGTTACGCGTTAATGTGTTTGTATACTGAGTAACTGGGTACTCGTTCGCCAACAAAAATAATTTCAAGATTAAACAATCCGAAAGAACCCGAAAGAAGGGGTAGTAAGGAAGAGCGAATCTGATAAGTGTGTACACTTATTAAAAGCACCCCCTAAGTCGTTTGAAGCCTGTTGGAGAGGGCTTTTAACCTCTTTTCTGTCATAAATCGGATTTTGTACTCCTTAGGTGAATCCTCATCCCTCAATTGTGTGGAAGGGTGGACGAATGGCGAATCGTAGTCTCGGTGGTGTTGGTTTATTGCAATAAAGAGCAAAGAGAGAAAAGTCACTAGTCGGTAGTTTCGGTAGGACGAAATGGGGTGCATGCCATTATGAACAATAGAAATTCCTCCTACGTTTCGTTTTCTAATTGCTGAGCGCAAGCTTATTTACATTCAACGTCCCCGGTTGGGTTTGCTTGCAGTAATTGCCGTAATCAAAGGGCCGAGAGATGTACGACGTGTCTGCCCATCGAACCCTTCTTCTGCTACTAATTTCGACAGTTATGCAACACTGTTTTAATTTCGACTTCCAACTGTTACCTACGCTACCTATTTCTATGTCCAAAAATACGCCACTTGACTCAGAGAAAAGGGTAATTCTGGACTAGAGATTGCGAATATTTTCTGAATTGTTTATGATAAATGAGCCGTTTAGAATCTAAATAGTACTTCTTTATTAATTATTTTTTGATTAAAAGAATGAAAGTTGCTTTCTTTGG